GTGATTTATACCCACATTAAAGCTCGAAAACAAGGGTTAAATAATTTTCATGCAAATCCGTGCCCCATAATAAGGGTAGTGGTGGTAGTGGCAGTATTGTAAGAATACTGATTAAGTACTTTAGAATTGTCTGGTAATTCGTAAGATAGCTACAACAGATTAATTTCCATCCCACAGGATCTAGCCAAGAAAGAAGCAGAACAATGGTATCTAGACACCCTGAAGCAGGCTGGGCTGGAGGAAGACTTTGTGAGAAACAAGGGTCAAGGCACTGGGGCTGTTCAAGAGAAGGAGACCAAAGTCAAGGATTTTCCCAGGTAACCTGAGATGTTGCTGTCATTCTGCAGCTTTCTAAATTGTCATACCCAGTAATACCACTGGGAGGAAACTTTAGAATAGCCACTGGTATTTTGAGATCATAATCCTATATTTATATAGTAAGTAATCCAGAGATCTCCCTCCAAGTAACACATTTGAATTTAGACAGTGGTGCAGTTGTGAATAAAATCTGACAAATTATGTTTCGTTTTCTTCCATTTTGAAACAGATCATTTTCCAATTCCAGTTCCAATTCCATGAGCCGAAACTATTTCTACTTTATTTTTGAAGAAAAATCATGTATATTTTGACTTCTTATAAAACTATAAAACTGTTTTTCTAGCATTCCTTAAAGGTAGCTCATTAGTATCACCTTCTCCATAACCCATTTTGATATTGAGTCAAAGGACGAAAATAGTATCTATCTCCACTATTCTCAGTTGTTTTGTATCTTAGATCCTAGCAGCCCCTACCCTAATTCCTATCTCAGTTTTATACCCCTAGAAATTTTCCTTTACATCCCATGTAAAATAATAATAATGTTGATACTTTTTTTTTTTTTGAGATGGAGTCTTGCTCTGTCGCCAGGTTGGAGTGCAGTGGTGCAATCTTGATTCACTGCAACCTCCGCCTCCCAGGTTCAAGCGATTCTCCTGCTTCAGCCTCCCGACCCGAGTAGGTGGGACTACAGGTGCCCACCACCACGCCCAGCTATTTTTTGTATTTTTAGTAGAGATGGGGTTTCACTTTGTTGGCCAGGATGGTCTTGATCTCTTGACCTCGTGATTCGCCTGCCTCGGCCTCCCAAAGTGCTGGGAGAGACCATTCTTAAACCTTACACAGTGCTTTAAGATTTTCTTTTTTCAGACCGGGCACGGTGGCTCATGCCTGTAATCCCAGCACTTTGGGAGGCTGAAGTGGGTGGATTGCTTGAGCCCAGGAGTTTGAGACCAGCCTGGACAACATGGCAACCCCCATCTCTACAAAAAGTAAAAAGAAAAAAAAATTAGCTGGGTGCAGTGGTACGTGCCTATAACCCCAGCTTCTTGGGAAGCGGAGGTGGGAGGGTTGCTTGAGCTAGGCTGTCCACGCTGCAGTGGGCCGAGATCACGCCACTGCACTCCAGCCTGGGTGACAGTGAGACCCTGTCTGAAAAAAAAAAAAAATTTTTTTTGTTTTTCGTGTTTTATTCTGCAGGTTCCAAAAAACTGCAAAATTCACCATCAGAGATCCAGAGCAGGGTTTAGAAGGATCTCTAGAACAGCCTGCAAGCCCCAGGAAAGTACTGGAGGAGCTGTCTCATCAATCACCAGAAAATCTCCTATCACTTGCTTAATCACTACACTTAAAATCTCTGCTTTTGAAAAATATTAAGCAGCTAACTTGGGTTTGAGTCAAGGCAGGAAAAACTTGGGTTTCGAGTCATGGCTACTGCTAGAAGATGGGGAAATGAAGAGTAGCAGATTAATAGGCTGGGCGCAGTGGCTCACGCCTGTAATCCCAGCACGTTGGGAGGCTGAGGCTGGCGGATCATCTGAGGTCAGGAGTTTGAGACCAGCCCAGCCAACATGGCAAAACTCTGTCTCTACTAAAAATACAGCTGGGCGTGATGACACGTGCTTGTAATCCTAGCTACTTGGGAGGCTGAGGCAAGAGAATCACTTGAACCCAAGAGGGAGAGGTTGTAATGAGCTGAGATCATGCCACTGCACTCCAGTCTGGGCAGCAGAGCAAGACTGTCTCAAAAAAAAAAAAGTAGCAGATAACAGGGAATGGTTGAAGGAAATCAAAGTGGGGAGGCCCAGGTGGAGGGATCGTAGCCTAGAGTTAAGGGTTCCT